TTTTTTTTTTTTTTTTTTTATCATTCATAACTTCTATAAGGCACGTCTGGGTGCTTATGAATTTCTTTGAAATGATTTCATGAGGGAATAGAATCTGCATCTGTTATTGTTAAATAACTGTATGAAAATGTAAGATTTAACCTAACATGTTCATTATACACTCAGAAAAAAATGCCTTTTTCTTAACACTGGTTATATTGTTGTTGTGATATCTGGGGTACAATACACAACTTTTTTTTTAACAAACATTTCAGACTTTTATTTTTGTCAGCAGTTTATATAAATATAAAAGAACAAGAGCTGTAGCTGCAGGTAAAATTCCTAGTGTGGCATTATTATTTCAAGAACATAACACAACTTATCTCCATCTATAACTCCAAATTTTAAAAAGTTCAGAGCTGATGCTCCTAACTCAAAAGCCATCATCACTTTCTTCCAGCAGAGGTGGTTTCACTCCCCCTCTAGACAGACGGTTACTCCTCTGCAACGGGACATCTAAGCTGTCGTCCTCCAGCTCCCTGCTCTCATCTTCTTCATCATCCTCATCTTCCTCATCATCCTCATCGACATCAATCTCGCCGTCATCAGTCTGAAACAGAAGAAAGTTTTGACCACACTCGTCATTAAACATTCATTAAACAGGCGGGTGTCTGTCTTTGTGAGGAAAGTCCAACTATATGGTATCCCAAACGAGATATTCTAGGGTAATTATTGATCACAAACACACAAACTATGAAACCACAAGTTAAACGATCGTATTTTCATTCTAACTAAGCACAGAACCTTGGGATGGTTTACTCCTACATCAGAGGAAAGGCTGATTATTGGAACAGATCAGTTTAGCGATAAAAACATATATTTAATATTTAAAGGAAAAATCCATACTTACACTAGAGATAGTAACTATTGAAAACATCAGTGCCGTTCCTTTAAATTACATAAGACAATTTAATATACATGTATATATAAATTTACCACCATCCCAAACACATTTCGTCCAAACATTGGACTCAAATAAGGAGTTTAAGAATGGATTTTTCCTTCTAAAATATTGGGAGGAAATGAGAATGAATGCGCGAACCTTTCCTGTCTGCCGTTTTTTTGATTGAGTGACTGACCTTCTGGAGACTGCTAAAAACCCCTTGTAAAATCCAAGAAACAATGACAAGAAATTAATGAAAGAAAAAAGACTGGTGGTAACAGTAGATTCCATTAGAAATACTTGAATGAAGAGAGAAGTGAAAAAGCAAAGACTGGGGTAAAGTCAGTCAGGGTTACTAAAAAGAGGACATCCTTCAAATGACAACTGGAGGTAAACAAGAAAGTAATTTACTCTTTGCAGCTCAGCAGGACACAGAAAAAATGTGTGCTGAACACAGAGACACTTTGAATAAAAACTAACCTCATCGCTGTCGCCGGCCAGCATGTTACCAATGAAACGTGCTCCTCTCCCTTAGTAGAGAAAATAAAGAAGTAATAAAATAAGAAAATACTGGAAAATGCATCAACTTTTTGCGGCTCTGTAAAATCTAAATATCACTTTAATATTTGAGTTTAGCTGTAGAAGAAATCAATATGTGGAGTGCCTCTATTACGGTGGCCCTGAAGTGCAAACTCCAACTACAAATCTAAAAGCGCAACTACATTAAGAAAAACACAATTACATCAACCTACCGGAAAAGGTAGGTACCAGTGGGAAACATGAGACATCGCTAATTGGACGACGGCGCCGTTTGACCCTTGAACCGGAAGTCATTCTGCCTGCTGCAGCTTTTGAAAACATGGATATTGTCGGCGCCCCAAACATAGCTACCGTTATCCAGGAGTATTTTGAATCAGGACATACGTACGAGGTGATACTGGATATGCTCAAGACTAATCATGAAATTTCAGTTAGTTTGCATACACTGAAGACACACTTAAAAGAAGCTGGACTGTTCAGACGACGCAACTTCCGGTTCAAGGGTCAAACGGCGCCGTTGTCCAATCAGCGATGTCTCATGTTTCCCACTGGTACCTACCTTTTCCGGTAGGTTAAAGCTAAAGTCTGTAAG